TGTTACTGCCAGCTGCATTGAAGTCACTGGCTTCCAGTCGGCCATTGACATGTTACTGCCAGCTGCATGGAAGTCATTGGCTTCCAGTTGGCCATTTCCCTCTGGCATGTCGTTGCCAGCTGCATGGAAGTCAATGGCTTCCAGTTTGCCATTGACATGTTACTGCCAGCTGCATTGAAGTCACTGGCTTCCAGTCGGCCATTGACATGTTACTGCCAGCTGCATTGAAGTCATTGGCTTCCAGTTGGCCATTTCCCTCTGGCATGTCGTTGCCAGCTGCATGGAAGTCAATGGCTTCCAGTTTGCCATTTTCCATTGACATGTTACTGCCAGCTGCATTTAAGTCAATGGCTTCCAGTTTGCCATTTCCCATTGACATGTTGCTGCCAGCTGCATGGAAGTCACTGGCTTCCAGTACTGCCAGCTGCAGGAGACATCCTATACTTTATAAAGTACAGTTGCTTGAAGTTAATAAAAAAAACTTCCCCTCAGCAATTCCTTGTGAGACACCAGGAGAGTTGATGCATTTTTGCATCAACCAAATTTGTGCCAATTTGGAGGAAAATTAATTGCATTTTCATTGACTGCCAGTGAAGATTTGATTTACATTTCAATGATCTGTGTGTGATGCAGTAAATCGTTCCATCAGCTGGCGGGAACGGCTGTCCAAAGGCAAAGAGACATTCAAAGGAGACCTGGAGCACTTGTTTCGTGACAAGCTACATGTACCTGGCAACCATGCTGCTAAAATGGCTCGCAAACGAGAGCGTGTCACCTGTGAGATATTCACTACTGAGAGAAAGTATCAGAACCACCTGTCCATTATTGTAGAGGTGAGATTTGAAAGTACACATTTGATTTAATTTTTTGAGATGTTGAAACCAGATCCCTCATTTGTTGATATTTGCATAGCTTGCCTGCTGATAAGCTGACTAGCAGATGTGGCTGCCAAAGAGGCTAGCTGTACATGTAGCCGGATGTAAACGTCTTCATTATATTTCCATTTTACTGTTGAGAACTACACTGTCGTGTATTATACTCTGTTATATGTATATATTATGTGTATGCATACGTGTGCTTGTATGGGACAGTGTTTGTGTGAAGAAATCATGGCGATGATGCCTAGAACTCATTTGTGGTGTGCATGTGTAAGGGGTTTTGGCATATCAAATATTGAATATTTTCGGAGTTGTTTGATATAAACACAAAGCAAGAAATATCTTACCTACATGTACATGTCCCGCATCTCATTTGTTTCGTGAAATTGGCGTGTGCATGTACAGTGTGTTGCAATGTTGTATTCGAGTCCAGTGACAAGTGCAGTCTTTTGAAGTCCCTTCACAAGACCAGTCATAAGTAACAGGGTAAACTATGACAAAAAATTGCTTTTGTGACATGCGTAGCTTGTGAATTGGCTTAGGACTGAATGACATGTGATGGACTTACAGGGACTTGTGATGGACTCAAATACACCACTGGTATATTGTATACTGTACATGTACATACGTGTATGCAAATGTCTATGTGTCTCATTTCAAAGTACATACATGGACAGAATGTGTAAGTAACTGATCAGTTGTGTGCGCATATTGTTGGAATGATTTAATTTGATCGGAACTGTTCTCTCACATTAATCATAGTCTGGTCATTGTACAATATTGACCAGACCACTCCATCGTGAAATTGCTTTTTCTTGGGTGTACATGTGTGACACATTGATTTGCCTGGTCAAAGTTTATCACACGTACACTGTAATGTGTTGCATTTTTCCTCCCATATGTCTTGTTTGTTTGCAGCATTTTTTGTCTCCCTTGGAGTCTCTGGGCCTGATCCCTGCAGATGATCATCGCATCATCTTTGATAACATCGCAGCTATTCAAGCCGTCAATCGAGAGCTTTTAGCTCATATGGAGGAGCAGGGCATAGCTGAAGCCTTTATCCAGCTGGCTCCATTCATGAAGGTGTATTGCACATATGCCAATAACTTTGAGAAAGCTTCACAGAAACTCCAGGTGAGACCAGATGAAAAGCCAAGTGACCAAGATTTGATGACCTTTCCTTCTGACACTGTAACATAATTGTGCATGGTTGTTTGTAATACTTAACTCTGATAGACATAATAAAAAACAACAGGTGTTCAGATCAGTTGGACGATAGCAAAAGAATACATATCTTTCCTCGTTATGTAATTGGATCTGTTTTGAATTTGACTATATCAGCTAGAGCGACATAAAATGCCAATTCAGAGACATGAGAGTTGTTTTCTTTTGGAGAATGCCACTACCAGATCTTATAAAGGGTCAATAACCCCAGACTCAATGGCTATTTGGTCTGACCAGGTAAATGACCTGTTGGATTTGGACCTGCGATTTGTAACTGTTGCAAATCACTTGATTTGGCATAGTTTCTGTCCAAAATATATGTACTGTATATAAACAAAATCAAACTTATATGTAATTAAGATTTTAAGTCATACATGTACAGTTGTATAAAAATGTGTAACTTCAGGCATGCGAAACAACAATGTGAAATGGTGACCGGTCAAATTACATATACATGTATTAAACTCTACTAGTGAGCCATCAAAAAGACTACAAATCCCAAATGCAGGTTTCTTCATTCATATTAATACACATGTGTGCATGTATTTGCAGGATTGGGAGCACAAGCGGGCTGCATTTGTGCAGTTTCTAAGAGAGCAAGAGGCCAAACCTGAATGCGCGAGTCTGACCCTACATGCTCTGTTGATAACACCTATCCAGAGAATACCAAGGTATGGAAGTCATCTCACCAACCTGACCAGGGTTCCAACATAAAGCTGGTCCGGTGGCCAAATGCCAGTCACAACATCCACTGACCAGTCAAAGCCTTGTTGAAGTGGTCCGGTAGAACAGTCAATACAATTACCAAGGTTTGCCGTTTTATCATCAAAGTGCCACTTACGATGCCGTTTACAGTAGCTTGGGTTTTACCTTGATGTTTTGGGAATATAGAGTATAATCTGCACCAAGCAAAAATCTGCAAATTAAGATTTAAAATCAGCGTATTGCTGGCAATGTCTAACCATGCACATGTAAGTCATCGCATGTGCTGCACTGCTGAAGCGCTGGTACATGTAGACCATTATGTGGTACACTTTGACGTTCGTTTGACTGTCTTCATAGTGCTGGCAAACCTCTCTGTTCAAAAACTTCAAATCCTCTTGGTGAATAACCGGAATTATTGCATGTATCTTCATGATACTGGCTTCTGAACCTTTGTGGACAATTTCAGTGTCTTGCGTCCAGGAATTGGGCAAGAATTCAGCTGAATGTCCCCCACCTGGCACCCTTGAGAAAGTCTGAGAAACTCCCACAAAATCATTTCAAAATTTCTTGAAATTATTTATCAATTTCTTTAAAATTGGTAAATTCTAATCAAACATTATTGCGTCCAATCACACGCCCAACTAAAAATTTATTGTGGGGTGCATTTGAAAAGAGTTAATTTTGCACTTCAGAAAAATAAAATTTCATTAGAACTTTGTAGCGGATGTGTGAAATCGACATTTGTCAATCAGACTATTTGATTAAATTTCGCCTTTTGTGAAATTGGAGGTAAAATGTTGCTCCAATAACACACCAACATTAGAGGCAAAACTTCAAAGTGCCCAATGTTAGGGTTTGCGCTACTTTCGGGTAGCAATCTTCAAGTGTAAGCAGCACGTGAAGAGTGTGGCTCTTAAACCTTAACTTTCTCAAGACTGAAATTAGCCATTTTGTCAAGCTGGATTACATGTAGTGACCTTGCTGGGTGGGCCACACTGTGGTTGTTCTTGGTCCTTTTTTTTCAAGTCACCAAATGACTAGTGAAATAATAAACAACATGGATTACACAACCATAAAACAGACGGAAATGAACAGATGCATCACACAATTGGAGAAGTGTGAACAGTACGTATGGTACATTTACAAGTCTATTCAACCCCTCTGGACTGGTATCCTTTATTCCCAACATGTGAGTAGAGTAAGTAATGTACATGTAAGTTTTCTATGCAACTCCAGTGAATGTAAACAGCAACCAACGAAAACATGACTTCCTTATCCCTGTATGGAGTGCTGCGGCACTTTTAAGAATGGCTGGCTGATGTATGCTGAGGCATGGCATGGTGTTTAGTGACTGATTTCATTTTGCACATTGTCATAATGTTGACAAAGAGAAGGAAGTCTCATCGGAGAGTAAAACCTAGGTTTCGAGAAAATCGCATTTGAGGTTGGTCTTCAAACGTTTTTTTCCCAGTATTTAGCCAGCCTTGGACTCAACCAATGCTACATATACACATACATGTACTTCATGGAAGAGGGGTTCTTAACTGACACAAAGCCACAAAATAACATTTATAGAAGTCAATTAAAATTGTTTTTATTTTTAAACAAACCTGTTTGTCTGTTCATGAAAAATTAAAAAATTTGTGCGACTTTGTCTCATGAAAACAGCACATACATGTACACTGCACATGTACAATACATACTTTTGCTATTGCGTGTGTCAGGTGCAAAATGACATTTCTATGCATTTCCTGAGTTGAATTCGTCTCTTCATAAAAACTGCAAAATGAGTTTGTCCTTTTTTCCCCAACCCGAAAGAAGCTTGAGCCAAGATGACTAAATGGAAACAAAAGAGCTGAGAGGATTGTGTGAAATGCAGAAACATAAATAATTGAATTTAGACTACGTGCACAATACAGTAAATGGTAACAAGTAGAGAATAAGTCAGAAATTTCTTCAAGACAAGGTTTAGTTGAATTTTTCTCAACATACCTGTACATGTAGATAGTGATTGGGCTGATTTCAGTAGATTTGTTGAAAAATTATTATACCAAGTTGTAGGCATTGCATAGAGCCTGGTTGATTTTGCCCCACCAAAAACACGGAAATTTGAAAAAGTCATGATTTGGGACCAAATTGTGTCAACATGACAATGGTGACAAAATGTTGCCGTATAAGCCACCCAGAATATAAGCCACAGGGACATTTTTCAGAAGAGTTCAGCTGGAAATTGAGAAAAATAGTGAGAAGTTGAATGTAAATCGTTAAATATCTGGTATTGGGATAAAATGCAGCTACATGTATGAATGTGTGACTTTACTCACATACATGCATACAACCAACAAATTGGTGTGGAATTTTTGTCTGATATTTGTACACTGTGCAACAGATACAAAATATAGAGGATCGGTCAGAACCTTGGCTGGCCAGTCAAGATGTGGCAAGTTTTAAAAAAGTTTGAAGGAAACCCTGTTGACCTCACATGCGTTGATAACACCTACATGTACATGTGTACCAAGGCATTTATATACAATCCACCAAGGTACCTGTACATGTATGGAAGTCATCTCACCGACCTGATGCTGCTCATTGCTTTGACCTTTTATGCCTGACGTCTATGTAAACTGTATGTTGATGTATTTCAATGCAGGTACAAACTTCTCTTGGAGGAGTTGCTGAGTTGTACTCCTGAGAATCATGAGGAATATGAGAAACTTCAAGGTAATTTATCAATGACATTTGCATCAAACTTACGTGTAATTTCAGTGATGGAAATAACTGGGTTCGCATCGCAAAATACGATACATTTTTGATGAAAAGCGAGACAAATCTGAAAACGGTTAGCATTTTTTGTGGATCCAAATTTCTGATAATTCATGCAAAACCATGACCGATGCTCAACATACCTGTGCGGCGATGGCCGGCTGGCTAGATTGCCGAAATTATTTTGGCAACGACGCGACGACTGATGTTCACTGAAAATGCATGCCCAGCCGACGCGGCGCAATGCGGTATACGTGGTGTGCAACAGCCGGCCAAAACCGTGCGTAAATCAATGGCAAAAAACACGCTGGCACTTACCCCGAGTTTCCATCGTTTTTATACCCGCAGCAACTGTGGTCTTGGGCGGAAGTTGTTGCACTTTTGTGTGTCAGCGCATGTAGTTCGTACAGTAACGTACATGTGAGCGACACACACACACAGTACATGTACATGCAGTTGTTTTGGCAACACAAACTACATGTTCTTGGCAACACAAACTACATGTTCTTGGCAACACAAACTTAATGTTCTTGTACATATACACGCTATTGTTTGACACTTTTACACGTGCATGCTATACCCATGCATTTACGTTGCTACTAAAAGTGTCAAACATGCCGAAAGTTCCGTCGAACCACACCATCAGGAATTGGCAGAATGACATGCCATGGTTGACGCAGGAGCAGAAGTTTACAGGCCTGATTAACACATTCACTACAACGGTTTGAAAATGAACATTTTTATTACACACATTGTTGCATTTGTTTTTGCTAGTCAATTTATTATTTAAATTGCTAATCCAATGACAATTTAATTAGCATCATTTGCTAATCATTTTCCCCCTTATTTCCATCACTGAATTTAGAACTCATAGTTTACACAACTCCCTCTTGAGTCTTGAAAGCACCCAGTGTTGTTGGCAGGACAGTGAACGAGTATTGATTGAGCATCGATGATGATCTTAGGAATGTCTCACAGGCATGTCACTTCTCCTCAGATCAGCTGATTTCCTCGTTTGTCACTTCACACTCACGCAATTGAAAACTGGAGAATTGGAATTGTCTCGCTTTTGTCAAAGTCCCAGTCCCATGTCTGGTCTCAGATGTGAAAGGGGCCATTTCTGTTCCTTTGAGCTTGCTCCTTTGGAATTGCTGCTTGCAGGAGGCTCTTGGTTGTTACAGAAACATTCTCCCGGCATGATTGAGGTGGTCTGGTATTATTCATACATGTAGACAGATGTTCCCATTAGGAAACATTTGTTGTTCCCCTGCCATTTTACAATGGGAGGGGGTTCTGATCCAAAAATATATTTTTTGAATATTTTTTTTATATCTTTTTAGCAAAGATCTGGTAACCTGATTGTGCAACCTTGCCATGAATTTAAAAACAGCATCCAAATTGCTCACGTGTAGACCGTATAAATTTGCATGATAACAAGCAGGGCTTCCAAAATGCAGCCAAACATCTCTCTAGCTAAATATTAATTCCAGTCATTCTGAAAATAAAGAAGCTCTTCAAACACACTTATCTTGTTTCAACCAGCAATTAGAGAAGGAATGGCTTGCCATTGACATCTACATGCAATATACCATAAACAGGACATCCATAGTCTCTGATAAGAAGCAGATTTCTGAAACACTGATCCTGTCATTCCTCTGAACGGTTACCAACTTTTTATTGATGATGACTTTGCAAAGGGATGATGCTAAATGAACAGGGCTCTTGACTTCATATACACATGCTCATAGATTTAACTAATACTATGGCTCTGCATATGTGTGTTTATTACTACAGAGGCTGCTGCTAGAATGACCGAGGTTACGTACGGGATCAATGAGTACATTCGTGAGCATGAGAACTTCCAGAAGATGCTTTTGATTCAGAACAGTCTGACAGGTGGAGCACCTAGAATCATTGCTCCTGGCCGCACATTTATCCGAGAAGGAACACTCATGAAGGTACGGGTACCAAGCAGGGCAGTGTGATGCCTTGATCTTTGGTTTTTGCTTCATACAGTGTTTGTGTGAATCCTGGGAAAGCATCCCTTTGTGAATAATTGCCTGCAACACTCACATGTATAATTTAGAATTCCTGTGACATTGCAGTGGATTGATGGGACGTCAATCAGTCCATTAACCTCTGGAATGGAACGTTCCGTGTGTGTGATTTGACTACACTACATGTATGTATTTGAACTATCTACGTGTATGATGTGGTCAATAATTACCTAATGAGTTAACACAGATCAGGCATTTTGTAATTAAAAGGAATTCAGTGCTTGAAATTTTGTTTTGAGCAGCGTATAGAATTCAGGTACTACTAATGATCTAGGGACTTTGGGGTCAAGTCATATTTGTCAATGTCAACTGTCATGCATGTGTCCCTGATTTGCTATATTTCTGTCATTGTGTCCTTTAGGTTAGCAAGAAGGGTTCGACTGCTCATGAGCGCATGTTTTTCCTATTCAATGACATGTTGATATATGCTAAACCCAACTTACTGGACCCACTAGCATCCACACGCAGTTATTGCTGTCGTGGTGTCATTCCATTGGATCAATGTGAGGTTCAGTGTGTATTGGGTGAGCTCAAGACATCTGGCTCAGGAGCTCTATTCAAGGTAATGAATCCTCCGTTTGACCAGTGTGATGTTCAATTTATACTGAGAGAAACACAAAACTCAAGGCGCTATAACTCTATGAAATCATTGTGCACATGGAAATATGAGTTGTATACAGATATATGGCTCAAAATTGTCCCATTTAAACAATCCTAAAATATTTGGAACAAAGAATATTTTCCAAGATACTTGTGGTTTCTGTGAGAAATGGAGGGTGTAATTTCAACAAAGTGGAGCATATCTCTGCATCACATTCTGAGCTTACTACCGATGGAACCACCTACGAATGTACATGTACAGACACTAATCTGATTGCATAACGAACAGCAACTAACTTTCTGACCAGAATTTGCCTCAAATAGTGTGCAGTAGCAACCTTCATATGGACATGTACATGTTAGTATGTGACCTGTGGCATGAAATGTACCAAAGGCACGCACAGCTCTTCTGATATTTCTAGATGCCGTGAATTTCAAGATATACTTTGCTTCAGGGAGACGTTAATATGGCCAGCCAACCCCGGCAAGCTCGGTGGTCGAGTTGTTAAAATGTCTGCCATAGTTTGATTTTTTTTGGCAAGCATGTCTGACGAACAAATCGGTGTAAGGGCAAAATCTCTTAGCAAAGATCAGATGTCATAAAGTTGGCCTAAATTGCCAAAGGCAAGCCCCGTCTAAAGCCATTAACTTGCACAGTTTCTTATTTTCAAGATGTTTTTGCATTGGGGAGATGTTAATTTATATAACAGGGTTTGCCCTTACCCAACGTTTCTTATTTACTCCACATTCTTTATCAAATGAACTTTACAAAGTTGAATGTGTATGTGTCTGATACATGTACATGTTTGTGGAGAGGGAATGAGACTTTAACCACACCCTCCTATTAATGTTGGCAATGTTGGCTGTTTTCAGTATTTAACACG